GACCTATACATACATAGTCAACCACACTACAAACTATATGTCAGAAAAGTGGACACTACAAACTATTGTAGTCTGAAAAAGCAGACACTATTAACTTTTGTAATGAAAAAAGCGGACACTACAAACCATTGTAGTCTGAAAAAGCGGACTACTAACCATTGTAGTCTGAAAAAGCGGACACTACAAACCATTGTAGTCTGAAAAAACAGACACTACAAACCATTGTAGTCTCAAAAAGCGGACACTATTACTTTTGTAATGGGAAAAGCAGACACTACTAATTTTTATAGTCTTTGTCTGACCTTTGTGGTCTATGTCCGACTTTTGTAGTCTATAAATAAACTTTGTAGGCTATAACTGACTTTTGTAGTATATCAGCAATCTTTTGTAGTCTGTCAGTGTCAATTACCCTTTTAGGGCATGTACCTTCCTTTTTGGGTGAAATTTCCCATGATACAATAGTTGTAGCCCCTTCTCTTAGCTTTCTAAATCTGTTGAAATCATGTTGTTTAGTGTTCTTTTCATGTAGAAAAATGCAAAAAAAAAAAAAAAAAAAAACATGCCACTTTTGAAAACATTTTACCTCATATCTCCACAATGAAAGCACTTTAGGACATAATTCCAACTGATTCAGGAAGCTATGGTGAAGAGCTACAACTTTTGTTTTTTTACCATTTTTGGAAATTGGTCATGTGACCACCCTCCCAATGCGGACCATAATAGCTATTTTATTGCTATCATGGAATATAATGAAAAATCATAATGATAGCCCTGGGGGTAGATATGAAATTGGAATGAAATATTGAGAGATACTCAATGAAAAATCCCAATGAAAGCTGTGGAACATTCAATGAAAGTGCACATCATTAATTATGAAAGAAGCAATGGATGCATATAACCTAGCCAATGAAATATTTATTGAAATGCACAATGAATGCACCCAGAATTGATAATGAAATATTTAATGAAAGTGCACAGCATTAATTAATGAAAGGGGAATGAAAATGGTTGAAATTCCTAATGAAATATACAATGAAAGCACACAGCATTAATTATGAAAGAGGCAATGAATACACCTGACCTAGAGAATGAAATATTTATTGAAATCACACAACATTACTTATGAAAAGTACAATGAAAACATCCAATATTCCTAATGAAATATTCAATGAAAGCGCACACCATTAAATATGATAGAGGCAATGAATACACCTGACATAGTCAATGAAATATTTATTGAAATTACACTGGATTGATTATGAAAAAAGCAATGAAAGCACCGAAAATTCCTAATGAAATATTCAATGAAAGTGCACACCATTAATTATGAAAAAGGCAATGAATACACCTAACCCAGTGAATGAAATACCTATTGAAAGCACACAGGTTTAATTATGAAAAGTACAATGAAAGAACTGAACAGCTTCAATGAAATATTCATAGAAAGCGCATGATAATAATTATGAAAGCTTTTATGAAAGCTCCTAAGAAATGTTATGAAAGGGTCCTGTGGTCTTTGCCTACATTTTATGAAAAGAACATAGCCTTTATGAGAAAGAAAGACACAGGACACACCTATGAAAGGCCTTTCATAAAACTTGTGGACTTATACACACAGCTCTACAGGCAAGTGCCTTGGTT